AAAATGTAATTAACAATAATTAAACGAACATTCGCCATTTTTATGGTATCTATTATATTTTCTGTCCCGTTACGGCCCAAGGAAACAGGATATAAAATAAAATCGCTCAATTTGTTGGATTTTATCTTATACGCGTTTAATGAGAGGCTTACCTCTCGTAGGTGTTCTCTGCCGCAGGGTCGACAGTTATTGCTATATTATGTCGAACTTTAATTTTAATATACCGGTATAAAGGTGCAGGATGTAATTTAAAATTTGCGACGGACCGTTTCGGCTATTTGCCGAGAACATCCTGGGAAAACGTATTAGAAGTATTCCGGGTTCTCGTTTCGAGGTTATGATCCTCGCTTCGATTCCATCGCGTCTGCCGGTTATTCGAGCGGGTAATATGGCCACGGTACGTGTACAGTAACGCTAGTAAATATATACCGGCGTCTTATATTTAATATACCTTTATTTAAACGCGGCGTACACCTCTCGAATTTGAAACTCTTATTTCGACTCGCCGTCTGACAACGCGTTCCAAACCACTTATATTCTTATGATTTCTTTTTTTACAAACGATGATTTTCAAGTGACACGATTTTATCAAATTAATTGTAAATTGTATTCTTAAATAAATTTAACGCCAGAAGAGTACTATTTATGCGACAAGACAACTTCGGTGTTTTTGAACGCTGTGTACCACTGCTCGAAACAACGAAGTTCTTTCTACGTTAATAATTATCCAGCTAAAGGTTGAAGTATGACAAAAAGTCTTGAATCATCAGAATTTGTCGGTTATCTACCTGGGGATGATGTTCACGAGGAATCTACCTCATTGTTTTAATTAATCAGCCCCCGGGTAGCTTTGTTTTGCCAGGAGAGCGTACGTAGTTGCGGACGAAGTTTTTGCAAGCGCGATAAGAAGGAAGAACATTTCTGAAATATTCAACGTGCACGGGGGAAGTTTAGAAAAGGTTTTGCGTTGCGTTTTCACGACTTACGTGTCCGGCTGTTTCTTCTTGGGCGCTCTGCCCTCGCAGCCTCGTATTTATCGTCCAGGTTACGACGCCGACACGGTATACAAGTTAACTTTAAATTAAAGTCTCCCTTAAAACCGGAGGAAAACGTCAGTTAAACTCGTTTCGCGATCGTAAAAAAAAAGGAAGAAAAAGGGAAAAAAGGGTCGCTACGACTCGGCTATATTTCTTCAACATGCCGGTTCGACCGATGATATATTTCTTGCTCGTTCTAGCACATGATATAGTCGATATTTTGCCACGATGCGGTGAACTCGATTAAATATTCGAACATGCTGTAGAACCACCTTTCATCGAGGCCTATCAATTTTATACCACCACCATTTTCTCGTTTCGAAGAAAGGATTGCAACTAAAACCGCATTTACCCGATTCAAGCCGTTGATATCCGAGTATCGCGTGTCAGATAAGAAAAGTCAGCATTTATCGGCTAACAGAAGGGCTCGAACGGGACAAAGTTAATCCTATTTAGTGGTTCGGTCGATGATTCAACGTTAACGCGTTGATTACACAAAAGCCGATCGCATTAAACACCACGGAAGAAGCTAATACCTTCGAATGTTCATTAATTTGCAGTCGAATTCCACGCAACTGGCTGCATTAATTCTGCTAACCGATGCCGACACGCCAATTAGGGACTTACACGCAACTTACATGCATACTAGTTCCAACGGCGACCGAGCGCGCCTTCGTTTAGCACCCGATTAACCGTAAACCGTATTGTACGTGTTAACCTACACTCCCGTGTCCATTCTCTAGGGAAATTTCCTGAAAACACGCAGTTTGACTTCCCTGGCCAGAAAGTATCCGATAGCGCGCTTACTTCGGCAACCTTTCATTGGCATAACTACTTTTTGGTACAGATACCCACCCCTAGCGATACCAACCAAAATAACCAAGTCCATAATTCGTAATATTAGGAGAAACGCTCCCAGACGCCTTCTTCTGTTGAAGAAAATAAAATACATACATACTTTCGTAGTATTGTCGTCCTCATCGAAAGGACCTTCTCTAATAGACATCTTTTGCTGTGGACATTTCAAAATACCAGAGAATCAAAGCTCCTAAACTTCCATCTCCTTCCAAACTTCCAAACTTCTAAATTTCTAAATCCTAGCTTCACAAAATTTTTAAACACCAAAGTTCCAGAGTTACAATATCATATGCTAAAATTGTAAAGTACCAAAGCGAAAAAATTCCAAAAGTTACGCCAATGTATTCTCGATGACTTGATCTTGCAACGGTTCTGACAGGTAGCGGCGTCGTTCCATGAAAGCCATCGCTTTTAATTAAATTTTTCGTCCGATAACAGTTCTCTTTACATACGCCGCTTCACGTTTACGTCGTCCGTGCGTTCTTCATCGACCATTTATGCACTTGCTTTCACTCGGATTTATAGGTTGTAGATACAAGCTCTGTACCAGCTCTTCACGGGAGAACAAAGATGTCGCGTCGAATTGTTTACCGCGATAAGAATTATCCGGCAAGATCGCTTTAACGAGAACGTGTAGCGAGATGGCAGAGACGAGGAGGTAAGGAGGAAAGAAACAAAAGAACAGGAAGTGCTGGTGACCGTACAGAGGAAGTTTACGACGCCCTGAAACCGGGGTTCATGACCGCTGAAGGATACGTCAAATTACGCACGAGAAAAAATGTATACTCGCTAAAGTAACACTGAGAGTATGTGAATTTGAAATTTTTCACGTTTCTTTATCCTCTGAATTTTTAGTACGCTTCAATTTGAAGTTCAAGTACAATTATAATTTGCATAGTCAACGATTGTATAATAACATATTGACATAACATTTCAAATTTTTTTATCTGTATTAATATTGTAGCTGTAATTAGTTCTGACTGACGCACTTGACAAATAAGCCATAGTGCAAGGGGTTAAAAAATGACAATAGGCAGAAATTTTGAAATGTGCAGTCTTGTATTTCATAATAGTTGCAGTTTTTAAAAAAAATAGGTCTCGATAGATACATCGGATTATTGCAATTTACAGAAGTCGATGCCTTAATTGTTCGATCGTATTTCCTCGGCCCGAATAAGAGGTAAAACGTGCAAATATGACAATCGAAAGTTTATCATGTCCACAGTGACCCGACTCGCGAAGTTGTAGAGGAGTGGGCGAGGCAGTACAAACGATTTCCGGTGGCGTCTTTCCGGGTCGACGTAGGAATTCCACGCGTATGAACGTAGACAACCTGATAGCCGCACCACCCGGGGATTTTAAATGGACGAAGGGAGGCGTACGGAGGGAATTAAATGGCAACCAGACGGAGACAGGACTAGACGATGGCATGAACGCGGAGGGGTTGGAGAGAAAACAGCAAGTTGCAACAGCTTGCCCATAGTTCAACCCCCCGTACAGTTCCGTGCTCGCCGTGAATTTCAATGTGGTTTACACGCCAGGCCATATTCTTCGAGCTGTAAATTGCCCGTCCGAGCGAATCGCATTTGTTTCCGACCTGTCCATCCCCTTCTATCCTCTGTCTGTTCGTCTCCAAACGATCGGTAAAATCGTTTCATAAACCTCGCAGTTCTTCATCCGCAAACTGAACTTTTGCGCATCAAGTTTAGTCGGAGTAGAGTAGTCGACTACGTTAATGATTAATGAAATTTTTTCCGATAACAACTGACGATAATTTTCGAATTTAGTTCTGAGATATCCGGTCAAGCACGGTATCGTAATATTATGCATATCCGGGAACGTAACATAGCGTTTCAGTAGTAAACATGCAAAGCGAAAGGCAGTCTTGCCACGACCGTACGCGACTACTTGTTTCCGGCGTGATCGTTGTGCGGGGATCGAGATCAAATCGCACGGTTCCGTGAGCACGTCTACGCGATCTTTCGATTGAAGAAAATCGGTTGCCTAGGAGGAAATATGCCCAACGGGTTCTGTTGTTTCCATTATAGTTTGATACGATTTATGATTTGCCATCGATTTGCATCTATTTTATACCATCGTAATTTCAATTCGCTTTCTACCAACCAAGTGTCCCTAACAAGTATAAACTCGACATTTTGCAATTTCACAAGAATTCTGTTTGCTTAAAAAAAATTTTAGCCGGATAAAAAGTCTCATATACTCGTGAGATTTTTTTGGGCAAATTGACTTTTCAATTTCGAGTTACAATGAAACATTTTGTTCGTTTTGTATATCGAATGCAGCAGACAATCAGCGCAGATTCAGCCCTGGCGTATACGTGGTGAATACGGTTTAAAGTAAATCGAGAACCCTCAAGAACAGACCGCATAATGGAAGAACAGAAATAGAGACAGAGAGAGGTGGTTCGCACACCTGTCTGAATCTCGAGTAACGAGCCAAGAGAAACACAAGGCGACCCCACGAATTCGTGCTGCTCCTTTGAGCTCTCCTTTTTAACCCACCGCAGTGAGCACAGTCTGCACAGAGCATAACACAGGAAACCGGTTTCATAGTATTTATGCACCGTGTGTACGCCGATTGCGCCTACGAATGCATAAGATGCACACCGCCCTTTTATCCGCTAGATTGTTATGTTCAGAGATGTATTTGCATATGCCTTACTAGCTTTTAAGAATTTGATTTATTTATGCGATAAATTAGCGTCTGTTATAGTTCTTTTTGTAACAAAAATATCTGTTTACTCTCTCCATTACAGCTTATGTTTTACAGAACAGTATTTCATTTTAACAACAAAAAGATAAACTATTGTGTTACTAATGTATGTAATTATGTACTTAAGCAAAAAGCGATCGACGTTGATTTTATGCTTTTTAACTTTGTAGTGCGCGTTTTGAAAATGATGTCGCTGGTGCCATCTAACAGAAAGTGGTAGAATTAACGGTACAGAAAATTTTGTTTTCTGTTTTCATTGAAAACATATGTACAAAAAGCTTTCCTTTTGCTTCCCTTTTCTGATCCGTTATTGAATTGTAGCCAGTAGCAGCGATATTTGTATTTGATCATTTAATAAATGAATGTAACAAGTTTAGATCCAATTTTATTTATTGCATTTTATATATATTTGTATCACAACAAAAAAGTTACTAAAGTATGCAAACATAGAAAAATAAATATTTTTTTAATATGTATTTACCACTTAAAGCTAAAGAGTATATTCATTGCATTATATGATTTATTTCCAAGGTGTTCCACTTCATGGAATGCAGAGTAAAGTTCATTGCAGAATGAAATTAATTCAATATGTATTCAATACGAGATTCCTTTTCAGTCTCAACAAAATCTGGCAATGGAAATATGTCGTCCGAAGACGACTCAGATGATTCTTTAAAAAATTAGTAGTATTAATAATTATCTTATGTAATACTTTGTTAACTGAATAAAAAAGAAGAAACTTACGATCCTGAGTAGCTTTTTGCTTTTCTTCCTCTTCTGTATTAAATTTCTTTTTGTATTCTTGTGTTTCTCCCAGTTTTTTAGATTCTTCATAATTAAAATCATCATCATCCGTATCTTCATACGTAGTGAAGTGAAGGTAAGAAAGGGTGCACACAAGTGCTATGAAAAACAAATTTGTGCCGATACCAACAACAGCAGATAAAATTGGCCAGTGATACATTAAATAACGCAAACCAGACAAATGTGCATTTATCATAATGGTTGCAGAATAGAATTCAATGTGCCTGGATTGTATCTCAATATGAATAATTGTAACTGGATGACTCTGATCCTCTTCAAAGTTACCAAATAATTCAAGAACAACATTTTGTTTTTCTTCGGTAGAACCAAAAATCATCATAGGTGAAAATGTAAGCGTTGTAAGTGCATGTAGTAATGTACTACGATAATGTAGCATAGCTGATCTACATGCATGTTCCACCAGGAAACCATCTCTGCTATGTAGTTGCGCACAAACCATAAACATACCTATTTAAAGATAATACATTTAATTTTCCATATTTTTTTCAAGAACCGAATAGACATTACCAAGTTCCCTATTAGCTGGAGATTCTGGCATTTCCAAATGCAAATTGACTTTGTATGGTTGTCCAACCATTAGAAGCTGTTGTTTGTTTGTTAATTGTACATGTGCCGAAGGAAAGCTGCATATTCCTCTTTGTTCGTTGCATGATCTGTAATAGAAAATAACTGTATAATCAAATTACATAAATATAGATATTTCAGATTAATATGCGAAACAAAAAACTAATATAATATATTGAATTTTTTTTATATGATTAACGTACAAGTGAGAAGTGGAGCTCACTTGAATTGCAGGTGTACGGGCCGTATGTATGACATACTCGGCATGTAAGCATAATAAAATGCTGTATAAAGAAATACAGATAACCAAACGATGAAAACTCCGCTAATAATGATGATTCCACCACTAAGGATTACATCTCTGGCGGATTGTACACCTCTGGTTGTTTTCTTTTGAACATTAAACAATTTTTTATTGACTTGTTTTAATAACCTTGAAATCAACATTGTAAATGAATTCAACACCCTCGTAGCTGTAAGTCAATCTGGACACTACGCACTTTTTATTGCACGTTCACTGCATAAGATAAGATAAACCATTTATCGATTAGTTAAATTTTGTTTAAAGCCATTCAGTAGCAAAATATGTATAGGTTAGGTGCATTTTATTTTGGAATATCCGAGAACAATCTATGGAACACATGTAATACGTATGATTACGTATGAAAACATACAGAACTTTGAAATTTAGTAACTTACGTAAAAAATCGATAAAGTTTTTTATGTGAAACATACATAGCTATATAATCAATATGTGCTAGGTCTTGTTCATTTATTAAATATACACATATAAAATTTGTTTATTCTAATATACATAATAACTTTGTGTTCTTAATACAAGTTTTCGATACAAAAACATGTAAGACTGAACAATATATATAAGAAACATTCCATAGGAAGTATTAAAGCATTTTATGACATATTTTATAAATATGATTCCAATTATTTTCCTTTTCTATGTTCCAACCGGGGCCTTCCTTTTTTTGTTGTAGGTTTATCTTTTCCTTTATTTAATAATGGATGAGTTTCTATAAAAGAACATATTTATAATAAACTGAATAAATCATTAAATATCTTAATGGGTGCAAAAGACGCTTACCATCTACTGGTGCACCTTGTAAGTGAATATCATGAGAACGATGTTTCTTCATAGGTGGTTCATGTGGTGTTGTTTGATTATCTTCTGAATCTTCTACATCTGGTGATATTGGTAAAAACTGCAGTGAACCAATATCTTCCATTTCTTCATCAGAGCTACAGAATGCAGCCACTCTATCAATAGAAGCAACATCTACTTCTATCTCTTCATCCTGAGCTTCTTCACCTTGTACCACTGACTTATCTTCATCACTTAAATCAAATTCGCTTTCTCTTTCTTCATATTCAACATTTTCATCCAATTCTTTAAAGTCTGGTGCAAATGCAGACCAGTTTTCAACTTGATTTTGAGCCCAAATAGAAACAACACCGGACGAAATTGAAGCAATTATTGGTCTTACTGGATGCCACTGAAATAGAATAAATGTTCATGATTGTATCCTTAAATTTATCAATCATTTTAATAATCAACAAAAACTTACAACAACATCAAGTAATAATTCTCCTTTAGTTCCATGTAAGATTTTAACTAAATTTCCAATACTCTTTTCCCATACATATAAAGCATGTTGTCTTGCAGATCCAGCACATACATATTCTCCATCTCCAGAAAAACAACATTTTTTCCACATAGTTTTGTTAACAAGATCTTGTAGCTTTTGTATTGGCTCAGGTTCACCATCTTTTCCACAAGCAAGTACTTCAGTACTATCATATACACGAATAACTCTATCTGATGTATTTACTAAAAAGCAGGAACCACGTCTGGCAAACTCAATACTTTTCACAGCTGTATTACTAGCTGTACCTTGTGATATTTTATAAGAAGCTTTCACAGTTAAGGATTCTGCATCAAGAACTAGAATCCTACCACGTGCATTTCCAGTATATACATAATCTCCACGGCGATCAAAAGATGCAACTATATTTAAATCGCTCTAATTGTAAAATAAAAAGGCCTTGTTATTAAATATCAAACGTATTAAACAAATAATAAATTCATTACATACATCATCGTCAAGAGGTATAACTCTATGGGTGCCTTCAACATCAACCATTACTGCTGCATGTCTCATGGGACATACTAAAAATTTGTTAAGATTTCTTGGATGAAATTGTACTTTCAATATGGGAGAAGGAAATCTATATTTTTGATCACACTCTCCAGATAAAACATCCCATATGCAAACATTATTATCTGTAGAGGCACTTAGTAACTTATGTCCATTTCTGGACCAGCTATTTAAGGAAAATGATGGCATTGTATAATTGAGATACTATGATATTAGGGCCATATTTCAAGTCATTTACCTCAATGAGCACACTGGATGCACATGTGCACTAATAATTTTTGCAACACCTCGCGTTAAAAAATCCCAAATAACAATTCTACCATCATTACACCCAACAGCAAGAAGAGTTCCCCTTTTGTTAAATGTACAAGTAACTGCTAACGATATGCAATCTAATGTACCATCAAACTCCTAATGATTATAAACATTATAATATCAATAACATACAAAAAACAATTTATGATATATCCAGAATATATATCTTACCTCTGGGTAATTCTGACCGAACGATTCTACAAGAAAATAAAGAATGTTAATAATATTATAAATGTGTGATTATATTTCAAAATAAACTCTTTGAATTGAACATACCTAATAATTCCAAATTCATTTTTATTTCCTTTTATACGTATCTTGTATGTAAGACAAGTTGCTCGAGAATTATTTTGCGACGGTGTTATTTACTTATGACTTATTGTTGCTTTCGTTTTTATTCTCTTCTAAACACAGAAGATGGCTAACTTATTATTATGCTTTTCATAGTAAAGCTGAATGTTGGTAGCATGTATCTAGTTTCTAAGTTGAAGATGTATTTATTACTCCAAAAGAATATGATTAGATTTTTATTTGGAAATACATTATTTGTTATAGTAAACTATTTTTATTTGACAAAATAAATATGTATAATTAGCGAGATACAATAATTGTATAATTCTAATAGGGACATTTTCTGCATTGTGTGGAAGCTAATAGTAGCAGACGAGTTGCACAGCAAAAAATATGGCTGGCGGTGTTTTGTAGTGTGGTAACCTAATGTGTAATATACATAACAGTAATTATTCAAAAAATATAAATTAATATGATGTCATTTACTAGTAAGTTCACTTATTTTTTTAATTCAATTTTGTTTGTATAAACACTAAATCTTTACATTATATGTCGTTATATATATTTTCATCGATTACAATTGTAATGTGTATTGCATTAGGTTCGTTATTTACTAAACTATGCACCGCAACTGTGCGACGAACAGTAACAACCGCTGCTGTAAAAGAAATTCCAGAAGTAGATATTGCACCTTTTCGTGTATTGGAATCATACCCTCCTAATCATAATGAGAGGCATTTAGGTCGAATTTATACAGTGCCGGCCGAAATTACTGATTTAATGAAAGCTGAACTACCAAAAGAAACAAGAAAGAGAATTGATATTTTCAGAGAATTTGGAATAGTAGTTAGAAAACCTGCACTTGAACTGATATCATATTTGGAAAGAACAGATTACACAAAAGCTGTAAACAGATATGTCTTATGTATCCTTTTAATTTTATTTATTATATTTGAAGTAACTAAATTACTTCGATAGATATTTCATTTATTAATACATAACATTTTTAATTATTTTCACTATTTATTAGATGGTAGAGATGGTACAGGAAAAACAACAACATTGATACACTTAGTTCACTATGGTCTTGTAAAACAATTTGTTGTTATGCATCTACCATGGAGTAAGATACATGACATTTAATAATACAACATATGTTTGTAATAAATACATATTATATTTTTGTCTGTCTTTCAGTTTCTACTTGGTATAGATTCCCACTGGAAGTTCAAGAGTCTCCTTTAATACCAGGCCAATTAGATTTGCCTCAAGAAGCAGTATCATGGTTAAAGTACTTTAGTACTTTAAATAAATTGGCATTATCACAATATGATGTAAGTAACATAGAAATTTTATTTATTTTTAGAGTTTAATCATAATTGTTTTACAGCTGAAGGTTTCTAAGGATTATGTATGGACTCAACGAGAAAGTACAAAAGCTGGGGAACCACTTCTTAATCTTATACAGTTTGGAACGGAACGTATTAAATTTGCTTGTGGAGTTGTCAGTGCATTACTAGAAGAACTGAAAGCAGCAAGCATAGCAGGAAAATGTAAAACATTAATTGTTATAGATGGTTTTAATGCATTTTTTACTGGTCCTACAATGATACGAGATGAAAAATATAAATATGTACCACCTCAAAAGATATCATTGACAGCACCATTCTATAATAGTGTAAATTATGATTGGTGTAATGGTGCTGTACTTATATCATTAGATATAAGAGCAAGTAGGGTATGTATAGTAATTGAACAATTATGACTTATATGTAACATAGATCTACTAGTTAACTACATTTACAGGATAAAAGAGAATCTTTTTATCCTAAGTATTTACTGGGTAAAGAGGGATTCGAGTATTTAGATCCTTTTCTTCCCATACATACAGAAAATTATACTTCAGACGAGTATAAAAATATTTTAGAATACTATGAAGACAGAAAGTGGATTCGAAAATTTGGTCCTCAAGGGCAAAGAGAAATAGAACTGTTAACTAACAAAAATCCAATGGACATCTGGGAACGTTGTAAATCATTATAGGATTGTATATAAATAAACATTGTTACTAAGAAATTTATTTATTTTTCGTATTTGTTACATTTACTTAAATATTACTTAGATATTTTAGACCATTGCACAAAAACTTTTATTCTGGTTAAATGATGTTATATGCAGTATTAGTTTACTTCTATATCAAACCAAAAGGAATGTTTAATGTCTGCAATATCCCTATATCATATACTACTATATATTTTATATGTTTTTTATCTACATTTACTTTTAATTTTGTTAACAGAATAAAGAAAAAACAAGTATAAACTATTTCAAAAACTTTAATCAGATTTGAATCTCATTACTTATTTATTTGTATGTTGAAGCAAATCTAAAACTTTATTAATATTACCGTTTTCAGCTTCTAATAAGTAAGTCAGTAATCCGCCTTGATTTGAGAAACCCATTTTTATCATAGTTTCAACAGCTGTTTGAATTATTGGGTTTGAATGATATATTTTCGATTCTTCTGGTAGGCGAGGATAAATATTCTTCTGTGACGAGTTTGTTTCCAACGTTGGTGCAGATGGAATCTTACCGAACATAAAAAAAAGATTACAAAAAAAATGTATAAATATTACAAAATCTCGATTTATATTATTTAAATGAACCTACTGAACTGAATAGAATGCAGAAAATAAAAACTAGCAGAATATACGATGTGGGACTGAACGAAATAATCGGTACATTCGAAAAACGATTCTTTAACGGATCGGTCGATTGATTAAGGTTTCACTGTAATAACATACCTGTTTATCAGCTCCTTCATTTAAGTTAGATAAAACTGAAGATGCACGGCTAATTTCAGGACTTTCATTTTTATCTACAATGGTCCATTCATCTGCTGCTGTGGCCTTTGCGATAGAATCTTGACTTGTAATCGATGCAGAATCTGATGCAGATGCTTTGTCATCCTTTGCATCATCAAACATTTTGCTTTCTTCCCCAGAAAATTTGTTGCCGGTATCTTTACTTGTGGATTCATCTTCTTTATCTTCTTGCACCTTTTCATTATTAGGAGTTGAGGTTTTGGATTGGTCAGAATTAGCTTCAATAACAAACTCTACACCATCATTGTCAGTTTGATAAACTTTAACAAAAGTTTTAGAATTCTTGTCAGTTTTCTGTTTTGGTGTTTCTTTGGAAGGACCAGCATCATTAGTTGAGCATGGTTCATACTTTGATTCCAAAAAAGGAATCAAATATGGCATGTAAGTTTCCAACCAAGGTAAGATATCATAATTGAGTGGAAATTCATGACACTTTTTCTTTTTTCTTGAGTGCTCATTTGAGCTATGCTTCTTATTTGAATGCATGTCACCTTTTTTCAAAAATTTTCTCAAACAATAAACTAAACCTTGACTTTCATAAGCATGCATCGGTTGTGGCATACGGATCATATAATGCTGTGAATGTAAACTTTTTGCTTCACATTGTGCACACAAATCATAATCTTCACATTGAATACATTTGTATCTATATCCAACTACATCGCCATTACAGTTGTCGCAACATATACCAGGATGAACTACCTTTTCATTTTTAGTGCCTGATGGCTCTTCATTTTGCGATAATATTTTCACATAGAACTTACTAATGCTCAGTTGACTCATCATTTGATCAGCAAGTTTAAATTCTTCATTAGTTGATACTACAATTTCGTCACCTTCAAGATCTGCAACAATGGAATATATTAAAATAAAATTTGATCATTGAATTTTCAATTACAAGGAATTTTCGTAAACATTAAAAATATTACCTTTCCAGGAAACAATAAAATTTCCATTATGCAATTCGGGGTATAGCTCCCATATTTTCGAGCAAAATAGCTCGAAATTGTACTGATTTCTGATAGTTTTAAATCTTCGAATTTCCTTGATGGTCGAATCATTATTTTGTACATAAACCTTATACATGTGTTCCATATTTTGTGTACACGTCAAATCCAGGTACAAATATTATGCAATTATAAATTCCTTATTTATAATGTTAAATACTTCCCTATATTTTATCCAAGTTTCGTATGTTCGTACAAATGTACTAAAAATATCACTCTCAACGATTCACACGTTCTTCCACAAAATTCTGCTTTCTATATGCTTAGTCGTCCAAACTGTTTCCTTTTTATAGGTAGCAATACGCGTATCTGTCAAACTCACTGTGCATAATGCAATATAAGATGGCGTTTCCGGTGACTCGATATCAATTGAACATTTTTCACCATTTTACAATTATGTTTCAACGAAATACCGTATAGACTGTGTATTATAAATCCTCTGCAATTTGTTATTAAACAGTAAAGCTAAATGAGCTCTTCTAAACGCGCTTTTATGCGATTTAATCACGATGTTTTGCGAAACTTGTACAGCGCCATTTTTGAATGAGATGCGAAATTCGACAATAAGTCACGTGACGTCGATATGGACACGATGATTCACGATACATCGATTACATTCGAATCATCATTTCAAACATCGTTGCGTCACATTGTCTTGGACTTATTTATTATTTAAACTAATTTATTATTCAAATTCATTTATTATTTAAACTAATTACATTTATTATAATTTATGTTAGTTATTCGTTCTTATTGCTGTTGTTCACTTCTAGTAAAAAAACATTAGTTTTTCTAGAAACATCATGACTCGCGTTTATTTAATCGCATTTCGTGTAAATAAGTATAACCCTTATAATATTAATTAAAATTAACACTTATGAGATTAATTTATGAAATTGAAACGTATTATCATGATATTTATTCTTTTCACATTTCTAAGCAAATATATCATCCTATTCATCCTGTTTGTGCAATTTAATTTAAAGGATTAGATTCGATCGTAAAATACTGTAGTTATTATAACATGAAATGTCTATACGTATACTCAATTATTAAGATGTAATTTTCTAATGGAATACAGACCGATATTATCGTTCGTACTACATGTACGTTGAAATTAACTTTCACGATGTATTTATTAAATACAGACGCATAGAGACCTTTTAATAAAATTAACATTAATATTTAATTTTTCACAATGCTCTTATTTGCATTGTGTTATTGCAAAATAATAAAACGATTATCACGTAGTTGCAATTTCTAAATTGATATCATTTCTTGATTGCACTAGTCTTATCATTGCAACATCGGTGCAATATCGATGTTATCGTTGCATTTAATACAGCATTGCGATCGTACCCAATTATATTTTTATGAACTTGAACTTTTCACGTTATTAGTACAACGCGTTTAAATATTTAATGTCCTTCTGCGTGAATTATCCACTGCAAAATTGATCGTCTTCAGTTGCAGGAATTCAGTCATGTTCTTAGTCTTTCGCGACGTTCCACACAACCACTTTCTACAAGTCTTGCGACCAAAATGCAACTCATCGTTTATTTAAATATCATCTTGTTGTACATTTGTTTACCAACGGTGCAAATTAGTAGTGATATGCAAGACATTATTTCGTTGATCAAGCAAGTTCGTAGGCATTATTCGGCCTCCTCCGTCTTCGTGTTGTTTCCGAGCAGCAATGAAACAGTTTTTGATGGTACGCTTTTCGTATAATATTTATTTCACGATTCTCAGACATCATTATAATAATAATTTCAACTGACACAATCATGATTAAAAGACCTAACATTTTTTTCGAATATGTGATATCCTTTTTCGTGTTTATTAGATATGGTAGTATCATACTCAGTACACGCATGGATTCGTGCGCTCCACAGCGAGCAGCTTACTACTCTGAGCATAGCGATCGCAGATATGAAATTGCTGGAAAATTTTTATTACAACGTCTCCCGTCCGATGGTCATCATCTTCTTCTTCGAATTATCGGCGCTTCGTAAATTTTCGCACAACTCGAAATTCTTAAAAATGTCCGCTTTCGCGTGGTTAGTTATATTCCAAACTATGATAATAAAAAGTAGCAATGATTACTGCCACAACCCTCGAGGAAACATTTTTCATCTGGCTTTCGATACAGAAATGTTAGTGGTATGTAAGGGAGATAACGCGCTTTACGAGTGGTATTCCATCGATGGAAATACCACGGAAACTTTCAGACTGGCCAATTGGACCACCAACAAAGAAGATCCGACGTTGTCCACTATGCACCTGCTTACCAATTTAAGCTTGTACGACAGAAGAAATGATTTGAAAGGGACAGTTCTCAAGGGTGTTCTTGTCAAGGCAAGATATATTCCTAAATTCATGTGTCGTAATTTGTATCAAATATAAACATATGGGAATATCTTTCGTCCTCAGAATTCGTTACTGTACAAACCAAGTCAGAATAAAACGGAAGGATATTTTTCCACGATGATCGTCGAGCTTCAAAACTCTTTGAATTTCACGATAGAGATCGTAGCCAAATTATCAGAATTTGGAAGTTATAATACAACGACGGAACGCTGGGGAGGAGCGATGCATTACGTCGCAACAGGGATCGTAGACATCGGGGTGGCCGATTTTTCGATGACCAACAACAGACTGAATTACGTGGATTACCTGGTTCCTATTATAACAATTAGAACCTGTATGTATTTCAAACAACCGGATGCACTTGGGGTGAAATGGTTCGCCTACTTCAAAGTACGTTCTTAACGCGTGTTCCTGTGCTTGTGATCATTGTTATTAATTCATCACGTTCCTCAGGCTTTCAATTTCAACATTTGGAAGTCTTTATTTGTGGTGTTCATGATTTCTGTCTTTACGGTGGCGTTTATAAAGTCGCAGGTCCACTTGAAGAATTTCATGGGTCTAGTGTGCGACGAGTTTCTTCTGATTTTGGGTGTCATATGCCAGCAAGGACTTATAGGTAAAATTTTTAAATCTGACTGGCAATTCTCAAATCTGATCTATTGACCGGCACAATCTTTGGGGGGGGGGTTATTAGTCGAAGTGGAATCAATTTATTTCCCTCATAAAAATCTTTACAGAATTTCCACGGCATTCTTCGCTGCGAGTCGCATATTCCACCATACTGCTATCCGCCATCGTGATAATGTCCGCCTATTCGGCGTCTCTGATCTGCTTCTTAACAGCCCGCGTTCGCTACACGCCATTTCGCACGATCACAGAGTTCCTCGATGACGAAACTTATCGTATAATTGTCCTGAAAGGCTCTGCGGAATACGACACGTTTTTCGTAAGTTTGTTCGATAACGATATACTTTCACTCTTGCACTTTAATTTAAGTGTTACGTCGAAAGCATTGTGTGTCCCAACGGATCAAAAAGGAATAATTTATATCGTAATTTGATTTTCAGCTCTCGAAAGATCCGATAGCGACCAGAATCAAGAATATCATACTACCCATCGATGATCTGCCAATCGACATAGAAAGCGGATTCAAGAGAGTATGTTTTTACGCTTCTTCGAATATAATTTCCAATAAGAACTATTTTACCTGTTCACAGATTTGTGAGGATCCTAAGTTGGCGTTCTACACTAACTACAGTCCACAATTGGAGAAATTTGCGACCATTGTACAGATTCCGTGTCAAGTCACTTGTCTCGCTTTCGGTCGTGTGAACAGTTTGTCTTTGATCCTTCCGAAAGGTAGTCAGTACACCATGGCCCTGAATTTCCAGTCAGTACGCAAAGTATATGTAACGTCAAGTATATCACTGGCGTAACAAGGTTTTAGGAAAGTTGCAAATTTTGCCTGCGTCGGCCATTTTGTTGTATAGTACTCGGGTGCACCTGGTTCTGCCTAGCTACGCCAATGATGCTTCCAACCAAGAAATATGTCGATTTACATATTATATGTTGATTAACATATTTATCTGTTACAGTTTGCATAAATTAATAAACAGCGGTATATTGAATCGATACAAGCCCGGCATGAGTTATGAGGAACAAAACAACTTTGAGCCTGTTGAATTCGGTAGCATCGCATCAGTGCTACTAATTTTGGGGGGCGGTGTTGTTCTAGCGTTTTTAGTATTACTTGTAGAGGTTTATTACAACAAGCGGAAAGCAATCAACAATTTTGTGAGCCGTACTCGTTAAAGCTGCTTTCTACGGTGATTAATCTTGATATCCTCTTTAGGGATTATTCTGTCTGAAAGTTAAAGACTGAAATCTTCTTACCTTTGTAACCATACTTGCAACCGAAGAAAGCCACCATAAGAAAAGTATGTCTACGTGTCCACTGTTTGTTGAATTTATCACACATATCCTTGAAGAAGATAAATGTCGACACAAGTCTTTACAACCAAGTCCACATATGTTGTATCTTTGATAAACGAAAACAAAAAAATTGTCAAAAGCATAATTCGAAATAAACTGAGAAATCAGAAACCTTGATGATCTATCACCACTATTACGGCAATCAACGCGTTAAAATAGTAGCTGTATTTTCCACCATCAATTTACCAGCACATTGGAGAACTGTTTGACGTTGCGAATTTATTGGGCGATAGCGATCGGTCAATCACAACCTGTTCGTTTTCTGCAACGAATGCGTGCATACATCCGTATCGGCGTCGATCTCCATACAATTTGTACGTTACTTGTATGATCGCTAAGCCGATACATAAACACAGTACATTATGTTCCTAATGAGACTATCCGCGTCCCTAGATTTAACTTCGATAAATACTAACAGCCGCGTCACGGTTTCGCTGCACTTTGGTTTAGTTACCATTGCACGCGGTTGGGCATCGCGAAAGCGAAAAGAGTGTCGTTGAAATTCTTGCACGTAAATTATCGAACTAAAATTTTATTCTCATGAATTAAACTTGCTGAATGAAATCAACCCCTTTATGGAACGATGTGACAAAATGGCGCAAATAATTTGCTACGTAATTATTACTATTTTATTGTTGCCGTCTGTTTCAACTTTCTCGATGAGCACGAAAGAAGCTTTCGACTACGTTCTTGTTATTATGGATGTTTACAAGTATTACAGAACGACTTGTATCGTGATCGTGCATTCCAATCGCACTGGTAAGTTTCATTCTTTTTTTTTTTTTAAATCATGTGAAAGTTTGGCATTCCTTTGTTAATTGGTGTTTGTTTGCGAAAACTAAGTAATGATTAATGGAAGGGATTGTAGGATTTCTGTTAGAGCTAGCAAGTCTAAAATTAGATGGATTCTAGAAATTTGAGAGAATGTGGAAATTTGTGGGTTTCAAAGTTTGAGAATGTGTTTAACTCTTTGCAAACGCAGATAATTATCGTTACAGATTTCGACGAGACTACACTGATGCATGTATGGTCTCGGTCTTTCTCCCGCAAGGGTATCCTGACCATGATCACAAGCTTTTCCGAGTTGTCACGCCAGATTAAGAAATACCAAGGTTACATCACGCGTCCACTTTACCTTGTCCTTCTCTCCACGAGGGAGACCATGGATGAGTTCGCGATGGCCACCAGACAGATCGATATCTCCTTTCCCGTCTGGTTCGTGATGTTCCTACCGTACCGAGAAAATCCTCTACGGAGAGTTTGCCAGAATCCCGACGGGAATCCCTTTAATTTGATGTTCAACACCGAAATGCTGGTGCTCTGTTACGATCTACCGATCCTGAAAGAATGGTACGCGTTGCGTGACAATCGTACCAGAATTTCCAACTTGGCCACCTGGAAACTTGGCGAGCCGGTGCACGTCACTGCGAAACTCAATTTTTACGGGAGAAGAAGCAACATGTTTGGGGAAACGATGCGTATTGCGATCGTCGAGGTGACGTTTGACGAATTGTGGACGAATTCTGTTACGATGATTTTATTTTTTATAATTTCATAATTCAAAACTTTTGAAGTTTGAGGACCTTGAAGGCTAGCTTGAAGTCTTTAATGAGACTCACCTAAGAGTCTAGGTTTCAAGGTCTAAGGTTTTAAGATCTAACCCCAAAGTTTCAAAACCTTAAAGTCCCAAAGTCTACACAAAATTTCTAAATTATCAATGTCTTAAAATTACAAAACCTTAAAGCCTTAAAGCAAGGTACTATACCCTTTAAACTTCGAAAGAAAGCCTATCAGATGCCCTACGTTTTATATCGATAAGTCTAAAGTTTCAAGAGTGTCCGTCTGGAATTTCAGAAGTCCTCGTTCGTCGCGATGCAAAATGGCGAGCTGACGTTGTTTTTCGGCCGCCTGGTGCAGGAGTTGGCGAAGTTGATGAACTTCACGGTCAAAGTGACAGAGAGCATGACGAAATACGGAGCTTGGAGCAAGGAGGAAAAAAAATGGACGGGCATAATAGGCGAGGTGGCCTCGAACAGGGTCGATTTTGGCGTGTCCGAGTTCAGTCTCAGTAGCCAAAGGTTGGACGTGGTGGACTTCACCGTGCCGTTGCTCCTGTCTCGGCACAAGATATACTTCAAGAAACCCGATGTCTCCGTCGTTCAGTGGTCCGCCTACTTCAAGGTTCCCTTTCCGTACAGAATACTTGATCATCCTACGTTTGATTTATAATTAGCGCGTGCTAGTAAATGGGGCATCTTGTGGGCGATGAAAACACGGTTCCGATCAACGCCTGCAATCGATTCGTTATTAATAAACAGCTTCTTAAAACGGAACGATGTTTTCAGACATTCCATGTGGACATTTGGATCGCCATTATATGCATAATCGTGTCGTCCCCCATTTTGTTGGCGATCATCAAGACGAAGGGTCGCGTAACGATGCAGGTCCTGTCCGATAATTATATTTACGTTTGGGGAATATATTGCCAGCAAGGGTTGGCAGGTAAAAGTTGGCGGGTGTAGATTGCGTTTCGGCTCAAAAGTAGTTATATACTCTTTTGCAGAATTTCCGAGCGAGACTTCGATGCGATTAGCCTTCCTATCGATTTTTGTATCAGCTTTAGTTACACTGTCGGCTTATTCCGCTTCTTTGATCAGTTATTTAACGGTCTCCACGACTAGTTTGCCGTTTTCCACGCTGGAAGGATACGTGGCCGATGGATCTTACCAGCTGATCGCGTTAGAAAACAGCGCGGACTACGACATGATAATCGTAAGATGGCGATACTGCAATTGCAAGAAAGCACCTTCTAATTTATATGAAATAATCATCTCGAACAAATTATTTAAATAATGTATTATTTCAACTACCTTATACTTGTTTCATCAGATGAAGAAATTTAAACAAAGCATTCTCCAGTAACTTTTTATTGAACAAACTACAAATAGTCTAACACGAAATATTATAATAAGACTACCTTTTAATTTGAGTGAATTATTAAAGAATCTTCAGAAGTCGAAATAATTGAAATAATTTTTTAAAATGATATTTCAGTCCTATAAACACGGTGTAATATCGAAACTGAAGAAACTGTTGAAGAAGAAGCAAGATTTAGCCCCGACGGTGTACGAAGGTTTCTTGAAAGTACGATTCCCAGAACTATCTCGTATGCAGTTGCATTTATTCAAATGCTTTATCTATCATCTGCTTCAAAATCTAAATATTTCCTGGACCTTTTAACGAGATCTATTTAACTGATCGAATCCGTAGGTCTGTTCCGAGAAAGTGGGCTTTTACGTAACCAGGGCATTAAAAGATGCCATGGGGTCCATGCCCTGTGAAGTTGTCGACATAGATGCATCCACGTTCGACAGCATGGCTCTCGTCCTGCCGAAGCACAGTCCGTACACAAACATCATAAACTACAAGTAAATATCGCCACCACCGCCTTATCTTCTGTTCGTAACAATCATTTTTAGTTTGCAGTGGTTCAAGGACAACGGAGTACTTAATAAATTAAAGAACACGTATTTTAAAAGAAACAGATCCAACGACAGCTGGTTCAGCAAGGTCTCTTTGGACAGCATCGCACCAATTTTAGCTGTACTAGCTGGTGGAATACTTTTGGCCTGTTTCATGCTGTTGCTGGAGAAACAGTATTGCAAGAGCGATAAACTCGGCTGGATTTATCGATTTTTATTTTGTAGAACATACGCTGAGCGAAATCTCGACGCGAATCGAAGTGTGCAACGGGGACAGGTTGCAAGGTTCGTGAAAGGCAAAAGATCAAACAACGATTACAGCAATTACTATGGACAATATGAATGAAGTTAATGAGAAGGTTCATTAATAAACATTTATTTTTTGAGCAAAAGAAGGCCGTGTTCAATCCTGGATGGACTCGATTTCTGCATTCAAAAATTCTTAAGCTTCAGTTCACTTTGTTCCCAAATTTCCAAATTTTACAGATTCCCAGATTTCCAAATTTTAAATTCCAAATTTCCTCAAATCTTTATCTGTCAAATTTCTACATCACCGAATTCATAAATTCCCAAATTTCTACATTTGCAAATAATTGGAAGTTTGCAAAAGTTCTGACTTCCAAATCATTCAACTTGATTTCACACAGTTTGTTTAATACCTAGTTCATCAAGCATCGATGCCCGCGAGCTTCCAGGGCACCCGATCTGCCCATCACCGTTCTGGTCTCGTTAATTTGTTCCATGGCTCTATTCAGTGCGTGAAATCGCTTTCACTTCATGCCACGGTAACATCGACGTGTAATTAGTTGCAAATTTCCGCATATCGTTTCTCCCGCGAGCATTTCAGTTCGATTCAATGAACCTTACGATCACGATTCGCGATTGTTGCATTAGTCACCGTTTATAATTCGATTCACGGCTCGTTCAAAGGCTATTGAAATCCCAGCAAAACGTTCTGTTACCATGTGGGTACAGTCGTGAAAAATCATTCGAGTACCAATATTGTTAAAAGGTTATGAATAAAGATATTACGAAAGACGAGTAGTAGTTGCATAATGTAATTATCGGAGGATCGTGTCGGAGACGAAGATGTACAGATTTCGTACGAGACGTTTGACCTACGACCTTTTGGAGAACTATTCGACCACCTTCCCACGTGAATCAACCAGCAGCATCTGCTTGTTGGCAAAAACACAGGGCCCCCGTTACTTTTCCCGCATCCTCCAACACAGACGTGGAAATCATACTTCGATCCGTGAGAGAACGCAGTAAACATTGTTTCAGATTTTAATCGCGCCTTGAATTTTTCATGGAGGTCGACGATCACCGGTGACGATGCGGTGAAACGCAGAAGAGATATCTCGTAATCTAATTGAGGTTGGATAGGGAGCTTCCGATCGGAGGATTTGGATATTCGGATATGGAAATGTGAACTAGTTTAGTATCTGGGTACATTTGGATATTTAAGAATTTGAACAATTACATTTTTTAAAAATTCCAACATGTGAACTTTAACACTAAACCTACCGACATATAATGTGTACTTAATTTGAAATTAAAAATGAAGTTAAAAAATAAATAAACACATGACGAAACATAAATTGGTACACACATTTGTTCTTTATCTTAATGAAAATCAATGTTCATTTCAAGGAATGTACTTTAACAAAATGTGTACCTTATAATAAGAAACTTGTGGGGCGGTCATTTGACCAGTTTAGTAGTTACGGTGTTAAACACTCGAAACTTACATGTGAATTTAAAAGATGAGGATCTTGAAAGTTCCTGAATTTGCAAAAGAATTATCCGAGATAAATTCTGGTTAGAAAATGAGAGTCCTGAAAGCTCCTGAATTTCCAGAAGAATTATTTGAGGTATCCTAAACTCTAGTTAGAAAACGAGAGTCCTGAATGCTCCTGAACTTCCAAAAGAATTATCTGAGATATCCTAAATTCTGATCAGAAGATGAAAGTTCTGAAAGCTCCTGAATTTCCAAAAGAATTATCTGAGATATCCTAAGCCTTGGTTAGAAAATAAGAGTCCTGAAAGCTCTTGAATTTCCAAAAGAATTATCTGAGACATCCTACATTCATCCCTTATTTCACACAAGGTCATTTGTACCTATATTCTTGCAAAGTTACGCCGATGTAACATTCATTCGAAGGGAACCCAAGTTCACAGGTAAACAAAGGTGCAACGGCAGACGGTCCTCAGGCATAAAACCTCGGCGTGACCGGAAACAGACGAGCACGCGTTGCGTTTCCGTTTTCCGTACGAGCGGAAGTGACCTTTGGCTCATTAGAAAAAAGTTTCACGCACACGGCTGTCGTCAAACTTATGCACGTAAAGAATCCGAGTGTGTATTTCTCGAGCATCGGAAACCGCAACATGTTCTTGTTGCTTTCTCGAGGAGGCTCGATTAGTCGCGAAACGTTAATGTCGAGCGATCTGTGATCTCATCTTCGAGACGAGGTGATCTCGAGTTTTTTTCGATGGTCGACGCAAAGAACCGGATAACCTTGAAATCGGCGCGCAAAATAAGCTTCGACAGGAATCGACCGCCTTCGATATGACCGTTGCTGGTCAAGATCGTTAATTGGAAACGACAGGCTGAATTTTAGACACTGGACACCGCTTACAATGTTCGTCCAGATGGTTGCATTTCCGAACGACCTCGGGATTCTACGTTTCGAATGCACACCGCGAACGATCGATCTTGATCGGTATTCTCCCTACTTCGAACGGAGAATCTATTTAGCTGTTTAGTCGCCGTGCACGTGGCAGTCATTGTTGGCAGGTTGTGTCATCTCTGGGCTTGTCTAGAATGCCATTATTACGGCGGATCGTTCGGACTGCCGCCGGTAACAATGATAGTCGAGAACGATTGCGAACCAGGAAACAATAATGCTCGCCGATAATGACTATTGTCAAAGAGCAAACAATGATGCATGGACCGGGTTCGCAGAAAGTTTTACGGAGGAACGATGTCTAAACAGGGCCGTATTAGAAGGACGTTTGGGTTAATTAAATTCGTACATTCTTATTCTGGAGTTCGCTGAAAATAGAAATCGCTTGAATTTATGTAGATACGAGGACATTGTCATCGAGTCTTAAAGACACTGGTACTCAAACAGGTACGTTTTTGAAAGACTCAGCTGCAGAACTCCATAATGTTATGCTACCAATATGAATAAATTTATCCATTGACTAATTCGATTACTAAAATTAAGTTTCAAATAACTTACACAGGTAGTGAAGAACCGAGATAGTCAAGAACCGATATCTTCCTATGCGTCTACATTAAGAAACAAGTATGTCATCTTGCAATTATAAGCGCAATTTCTTGTACCATCCCAAGAGGAAGGAAACAGAAAGTAAGAGCGCAGATTGTGCCTAATTGAGGTTACGTCTCCCGGTAAATGCGGCCCTGTGCGTAAGCGGCTGATGGCGTGGCCCATTGTAACAAGAACAAGACTAAGTCCGTAATGTCGCAGGCAGGAAAGGAAAGATTTAAAGATTTACACGTCTGTAGGATGTGATGTGCTACGGTCTAACAGTCGGACATTCTCTCGTGGCTGTTATTACACGGTTGCACGGGGCGCGTATAAATCTTCGCTCTTTCAGAGAAGTTGTAGGAACAGGGACGATGTATCAGCGGTTAGGCACGTTCTCCTGAGGAACAACTTTATCGTGGAACGAGGAGAACGTTGTTGCGTTGATCCGTTTGTTTCGTAAATCCACCTCGACCAAACTCATTACTGCCACCGAATACGTGGGTGGGTATTAGCGTTATATCCACTGGCTGGACACTTCTGAAACGTGTGATGGTGGTACTTGGCGTCAGGGTTTTGACTTCTGGGGAGGTAGGGTTTGGAGATGTAGGGATTTGGAGATGAGGGGATTTGGAGATGTGTGGATTTGGGGATGTGTGGATTTGGGGATGTGTGGATTTGGGGATATGCGGATTTGGGAATACGGGGATGTGGAGATGTGTGGATTTGGGGATGTGTGGAATGGGGGATGTGTGGATTTGGGGATGTATGGAATTGAGGATGTGTGGAATTGAGGATGTGTGGATTTGGGGATGTGTGGATTTGGGGATGTGTGGATTCGGGGATGTGTGGATTTGGATATGTGTGGATTTGGGGATGTGTGGAATTGGGGATGTGTGGATTTGGGGATGTGTGGATTCGGGTATATGTGGATTTGGGGATGTGTGGAATTGGGGATGTGTGAAATGGGGGATGTGTGGAATTGGGGATGTGTGGATTTGGGCATGTGTGGATTTGGGGATGTGTGGATTTGAGGATATGTGGAATTGGGGATGTGTGGATTTGAGGATGTGTGGAATTGGGGATGTGTGAAATTGGGGATGTGTGGAATTGGGGATGTGTGGATTAGGGCATGTGTGGATTTGAAGATATGTGGATTTGAGGATATGTGGATTTGGGAGTATGTGGATTTCTGGATGTAGAAATTGGGGGATGTAGAAATTTGGGAATATAGGGATGTTGACGTATAAGACATTTACGAATATGGAACTTGGGTCATACGAAGGTTTGGGTACATAGGAATTTGAGAACATAGGTATCTAAGAATATGTACACACGAAAATACTTAATTCCTTAGAATATGAAGCTATGGCCATTTAAAATTCATCCATTTGAAAAATCAAAACAATTGTTAATGCATTACATAAACTTAAAAACTTAAAAATTCCAACCTACAAAAATAAAGAGATCCATAATTGAGAAATACTAAACTTAAAAATCCACATATTTGGTCCCCCAAAATGGAATGTAAACGGTGGGAGAGCCCTCTCCGAGCTACTCCTTATATAGCCCTCAGGAAGGAAGCATATGCTGCATCTGAATGTACTTTAGTACCTCAGCTGCACATGTGTACGCGCACGTTGCGCGAAGGTTTAATTAAATTAGTACACGCGTAATTGCAGCCGGTGATTACGATCGTTAGCTCGCTACAAGGTCGGCTGACTTCGAAAGTTGAAAGATACAGAAAGAGAGGAATAATTTCGTTGAATATAGCACCAGTTTTTTGTAATTATTCGGGTCGTGATTATACAATTTTTTGCAATGTTAAACTTCAGCGTCGTACCATTTTTAATTAAAATATCTTTCGCAAATGTGTTTCTTTCTATTTCTTTTTTCAGTGTTTTTTTGCGGTGTCTATATTCAGCAACAATTTATCTTTCGATATATCGGAGTGATATCTGAGTTAATGGTGGCTATAACAGCGGTTCTCAACTTTAGGTAAATCTCAATTTTACTCAACTTCAGATTTTAAATTTGTGTCGAGTGAAAATTCATTTTTGAAAGGTTCGTTAATTGAGTTGAGAGATGATTTGGGATTTGTGGATATAGGACTTTAGGGATTGGTGTAGAAATGGTAGTGGATATTTAAGAATCTTTGAATTTGGGGACCTACGGATTTGAGGAACTTTGGACTTGAGGAACTTTGAATTTGGGAACGTTTGCATTTGGCAGATTTTAGGATTTCGAGATCTACGGGTTCTGAAATTTAAGAGGAGCTATAAACTTAGAGATCTAAGGATTTGGTGGTCCCAGTATCTGAAGCTCTGCGTATTTGATGATCCAGGAATGTGAAAACCTAAAAATTTGGAGAACTTGAGATCAAGAGATCTACTTTTCTATTCAAGTTTTGTAGATCTAATGTAAATTTGAGAACCCAGGAATTCAAAGACCCGGAGATTCAGAGTCAAAAAACTTACAAATTTAAGAAACATAAAAATGTCAAACTTGCAAAATTATATCATGTAGACTTGAGACCCGTCTAAAAAAGTGTCTCCCAGATTTATAGATTTGAAAACTAAAGAAACTAAGAATATTTTGATCCTCCATCAAGGAGGTCCACACCGCACCCAAAACAGGTGTTCCCATCTCATTCATACACACTTAAAATCTTGTCGAAAGGCTAGAAGTTTGTCACCGGCATCAAACAACATTTTACATAGGTTCGAGTAAATTTGACAATTGTCTCCTTTCCTCCTGTTCAATGCCAGAGCGGTATCTGCCCACGTATACCGGGTGTCGCGTGGGTGTACGCTCGTGCTCCACGCGTGCAGATGGTGGGGATCCTCCGGTACTCGAGTGGCTCGCATGGAATGGAAAGGAAAAGAGGTGGTGTACCTACAGCTGTGCCGTAAACGCGATTACACATTTCGTCGCTGGCAAACCCATTCAGTGCTCCTTACGGCACGAAGGAACTTGGTACTGGTCGTCGCTGTTGCTTCGACGCCGGTCGACGCGTTTCTGATGGCGACGCTGACTTTCAACCGGAATTCGATCACAGGAGAACAGGAAATCGCGATCGGTCTCCGTAACTGCCTATAGTTTAGAATCACGTGCTTCTGATAAAAAAAAAACAGAGTCGTTCCGTGCTAACTGTACGATTGATGTGAAAATTCTATTGTGCGGAAATCGTTTGCTTGAAGGTGCGCGCAGCTGTTCTCGAAGGATACTGGGTGAGTTTTATTTGGAGGGCTAAGATTTAGAAGGGACGGATTTAGACAAGTGGAGGACTTCTGGGATTTTGGGTACTATTTTAGACTTTATTTGGAGACTTTGGGACAGTGAGACTTTGAGGTTTTGAAACTTTGAAACTTTGGAACTTTGGAAAGTACCATTTTAAAATTGTGGCGCTGTGTGTCTGCAAAATCTATAAATCTTGAAACTTTGAAAAGTTGAGACATTGAGACCTTAATATCTTGATACGTTGAGACTTTTGGTTATCAGAATATTTTGTAATTTTATATTTTTAAGATCTAAAAATCATACAAACTACCATTGAATATTTGAACCAGAAAAATCATAACCTCAAATAAAATTATTATCCTTCATAATCCACGGTATCTGTAAATGAAAAATGTTCTTAATAACCTAAACATACATGCATTTTGCTACATCAAATTTTTCATGGTCAATTTATCCCTACGTTTACTTCACCGTTCCACAGCACCAAGTAAATATTTTATACAGCACAAGTCCTCGAGACTTTATCAATGTCTAAGTAAAAATAGAATGTTTCTTACACTCGAGAGTTCCCATCTTCTCTTGCTATGGGATCGGTCTAGTTTACGGAGGATGGCTGTCACTAGTCGAAGGAAGCAGATCCGCTAAGTTCTCAACATAAATATGTATACCTAGCGAGATCCTCGTTCCGCGATAAAACAAGGAAACCACGGAAGGGTTATTGAAGACACGCAATTATGTTTCACGATCGAAACTGTAGCTTATGGTAGCCGATAATCAGGGACGCATCAACCGTTAAGCAAAATAAGCACGTGCTTCTTGCATCAGGTATAAAACTGCGAATCACTGAATTTATTGTGGATTCTAGTTCTTCGTGTTCTGCAATTTTTATGTTTGAAAAATTATTTTCTGAGAAATTGTTAAGTATTAAGGTTTCTAAAGTATTAACGTTCTGAAGTAAAATGGTCTCAGTAATTTTCATATTTAAGGAAATCTCAAAGTCTGAAAATTAGAAAATTCCAGGATCACTACATTTTAGAGTATGAAATGTAAAACAATTCTAAAGTACTTTTTCTGAAAGTATCAAATTTTACATGTTTCTAAATTCTGAAGTTCCAAAATTCCACAACCTCAAGATCTCTACATTCCAAAGTTCTAAACGTCCCAAAATTCCAAAGCTCCAACCTCCAAAGAGTTCCAAACCTCAGAACTGCCCACTTCACAAAACTGCAAAACCCCATAATTCCCAAACCCCCAACACCCAAAACTCAATTTCTAAAACCCCAGAAAAAATTTGAATCGAATACCCACTAAATATCAGAGATTAGTCCCTGGCGATGCCATAGTTAATTAGCTGATAATTGACAATGGGAAAAAGGGTTATGCAACAGAAAGAAACGGTAGTCATCGAGATGTAAACAATATTGTATAATGTTGGAAGCGTGGTAGTTTCGCGGAAAAGGCTACTAAAGCGCAACGACAAAGGCGAACGCGTGGAGAAAGGGAACGGATGCGTGTAGCTGAAAAGCAATAAAGTATGGTTGTGGCATTCTTTTAATGGAAAATGCATGAACTGTTTTTCTGTTGCAGAGCTAACGAGAGAGTAGTTTCCGTTATTAGAGTTCCACGACGAAACGGGACGAGAGGCATAATCAGGCTGCGATATCGAAGATAGTTGCGTTGCAGGCTTGTTACGAGGACGAGGTTATTTACCGGGTATCTTCGAGTGTCCTCTTCCTATCATAAAACGCTGCCAACGGAAACGGTACGTCAATCGTTATTTACGAGGTTGCTCAAAGTTATAAGTACTGTTACTATTTAGTGAAAAATATTCTGAGAAAAGTTCACAGTATAAAAAGTAAATTGCCCTTTTTATGGAAAGCGTCTTAACAAAAAATTTTAATTAGCTAATTATGACAAAAACTTTATGGTCAATTCTTGTGCCCTGATTAATTAGCTGGAAAATTCGGGCTTTCATGGAGATAATGAGATTGCTAATTAAATTTTTATCAACACACTCTGACAATGGTTGAACCATGGAATTTACAAGTGGTTTATATGAACCATATTTATATGAGAATGTGCCAGCCCTTGAGAAGCTACTTCAAGATTCATAATTCTTAAGCCCCATTGTAATTAGCAGATAAAAATAATTTTCATAAGTAACCTTATAATTTTCACAACCAAAAAGCCGTACTGTTTGTACACTTATAATATAACCATAATAACAACATAAAACATCTTTCCACAGTTCTAATTTTTCATAATCATATTCTCTATGATCATACACTCTACAAAACAGTGAAGGTTTCATGTTACGAGAAGCTTTCATAAAATGGCGGGACAACACATTGCGTATAAAATGGTCGATAAAATGGCGGGAATTTCCATAAATCATCTAAAAACGAAGGAAGCTAATTTCGTCCAGTAGCACAGCACCGGAAGCTGCGATAGAGGCCGTTCCGATCGTCCTCCTTATCGACGAACAATTTCCTGAAGCTAATCTAGTCAGAAATCATGTGGAGCAGAGGAGACAGTGTGAGATTTTACAGGGCTTACGCCACTTGCCGTGACTAATTGATGAATAGCCGCGCAAAAACGATCGTAGCCAAGTTGGCGTGTACGGAATTGCAGATTCAACAAGTGGCGCGGTTCGAACACGAATCGAAGGAAGAGGAGGTCGTCGATGTTGTTGTTGCGTGACGCGTATCGCGGCGAGATTTTTGCCTTCTAAACGAAGCTTGGAGGCGAGAAATGACGACTTCTTTGCTGGTAACCGCAGGAATCGATGAGCAACGCCGTGTACGCGGCTCGTTATTTAACTCCGAGTTATTCGCAGCATCTCCGTCCGATAGGCGACCGCAGAAAAGTGAACGCGGCAACGCGTGTTACGTCGTGTACGCGCACAGGAAAATGATATCGTTTGCAATCGAGCAACTTGAAGAGGATAGCTTCTCCGATCACCGCAAGAACGTATCGTAGTTACGGAGAGTCGTTTTTAATGTTGATTGCCTCGTCGATATGTGAAACGGTCGTCGTCATTGGCGTAAATAGGATTTTTAAAGAGATTTTACTCCCACATTACAGTCGTGCTAAATCATCGAACGCACTTCTGTTGTATTCGACCGGTTGTATTCTGCAAGCGTTCAATTTGACGTAAGTTGCATTCTGCACACGTACCATGTGTTCTCGCCACGTTAAATTTGGCGTAGGTTGTGCGTTAAATTCAGTAGTGATATTTTCCATACGTTGAATTCTCGCAGGGTTGAATTCAGTGTTGTTCAGGAGTTGAATTCGGTACAAGTGGTATTCTATGCTTTGACTCGGCACGCGAATTTGGTACGATTGTATTCTCCACACGTGGAATTCGGCACGAGTGGTATTCTACACGCGTTAGATTCGGCACGTGTATTTGACGCCAGTTGTATTCTCTACGCACTGAATTTGTCTCGAATTGTATTCACGCTTCGAATTTGGTACCGGCTTTCTCACTTATCGCATTCGTCATTGAATTCAACACGAATTGTGCTCTCCACTTGTATTCTCATTATACTCATCACGAGTTCTGTCGCCAACCTATGTCGAGTTCCGTCCCCACCTATGTGACATATCCTCAAATATGTCCCAAAGGGACCTCACCAAGCTACGCCACTGTCTCGAAGACAAAGACAAAACAGCGAATGTTACATAACAGATCACGAAGCAGTCGAACGAAGATATATACAGCATAACAATTGCGACTCGATCGACGTACATACACGGCACAAAGCAGCTCGATCAATCCTAATCGAACGTAAGAACCGTTCCGTACGATTGATCTCGACGTCCATTTACGGCGGCAGGGAACGTCAACTGTCACCCCCGACATCCCATCTCGTGTAATTAGAATGCACGAGTTGAGAACGATTAAAATATATATCGGTTAGATACGAGTTGGAAACACGAGCGTAACGGAGTGTCGTATTGGCGCGTGACACCTACATGTCGATGTTGTGCGTGTCGCAAGATGGCCGGGTCACTGCCTACATAGTGACACCCACCGACTCCTGGGACGCAGCCTTCGCCGCGAATAACCACTACATATCTCTCTCTCTCGATTATAATTTACGCCGATTAACGGTTGCCGGAGCTTTTAACAGAGGAAACCCGGTTCGAGGAACAGGTCCCACGCTGACGGGGATAATATCTGGATATTGATTTCCATTTGAATTAGTCGAGCAATTTAATGGAGACTTACCGCGTTCGAGGAAGTTGCGGAATTTCTGGACGATAGTGTAACGCAACAGCCGGTTATGCTTGTTGCTCGCTGACGAGCGTGATCATTCATGCGAATTCAATCGGTAGTCGAATCGACTCATTTTTGGTATTCGTTATGGGAAGTGAACAATGGTATTTGAAAACTGCTTGAATCACGATTATTGTCTTGGGATTATGGGATCTGATATTTTTCAAAGCCAAGGTCTCAACGTCTTTAGTTACAGAACCACCTAACTTAACCTAACCACAGCACCAAAGTACTGAAAGTATTAATTCTAGAGTCACCCCAAAGTTGCAAAGTTTCAAAGTCCTACGATTTTGAAATTCCAAAGACTCCGATCCTTAAAGTTTAAAAATAACCAATCTTAAAAATGCAATATTCGCAAACTCTCCCAAAATAACTAACTCAGTGTATCTAAACCAAAATCAGCCCCTGGCATATTGTGTTCCCACACTTCAACCTCTCAAACTAACAAGCCCTTTCTGTTTTCCAGGATGGAGCCATACGCGGCGACGCTTTCCCACCACCCATAAAAAGTGAATCATCCTAGCCGGTGGTAGAATAATAACCGCAAAGATGGTGTACAGAGGCAGTTTGCAGACGGACGATCCCAGGGATGCACCGAAGCTGGTGAGGATATCGCCGCTGAGAAGCAGCAGACCGAACCATCCAATGCCTAGTTCGCGAGGAGCGTCGTCCATCAACAGCCCGGTGTACCACGGCCCGTTCGTGCCAGCGATCGACGTCCATCGAGCGAAATTGATCAACGAAAGACGTTTAGCTCGCGAGAGGGACATTGAGTCCATGGAGAAGGTGATCATGAGAACGACCGGTCTGAAGGTCGGTGCACCGAAGTTGCGGAACATCAGTCAGATCCGAGACACGGTGTTTGTGGACCCCGCTCTGATACCGATGGAGAAGATCGGTCGTGTGGAGAAAGGTCGACCCAGAACCATCGCTGTGGACAGTTCCAGTAGACCAGCTAGGACACCCAGCTCCATGTTGGCGGATTTGAAGGACCTGGAGAGGCTCAGAAACACTCCACCCGCTCAGAGGTGTCCTAGGACCGCAACTAAGGTTGAGGCTAGGTCTTCAACGTCTAACAAGAAGACGGAGCTGTCCAACTCGGCGAAGATTCGCTCGGACATCATGAAGATCCAACAGATGTTTCAAACACCGGACAGTTCTCCTAAAACCACGGCACGACGACCTAACGAGAGGAAGCTCGAGAAGAAAACCGAGCCCGAGAAAAAGGGAACGGATATGAACAAAACGAGATTACTAGCCCAGAAGCTGCTGGAGGCGTCCCGGAGAGACCGGGAGTCCCTCAAGGATCGCTATAACAACCCGAGAAACATCCCCTCGAACAAACAAGCTTCCAAGGACGCGAACAGCAGGGTGTCCAGTAAAACATCCTCGAGGAAGAACAGCGTCGACTCGAAACCCGAGAAAGCGAAGAATCTCGCTGTTATGGAGGAACATCCGCAACCTCCTGCGCGGAAGCGGAAGGAGTCGAAGAACAGGAAGAACAGTGACGCTGTTCTCAGTGACTCTGAAAAGGAGGAGCGCGTTAGAGACTCGAGGATAGTTGAAAAGAGCAGCGAATCATTGTCTAGTGGCAACGATTCTGGTAGCAAGGAGTTGAAGATGAGGACCAAGGAGTTGGATAGGCCAGATATTTTGGATGGACTTTTGAAGGAGTCCGATCAACAGTTGGCGGATCTGAAGTCTGATTTGAACGAGAGGGGAAGATCGAGGAGCCATTGGAGAGGGTTTGTTCAGTCCATGAGGCTGCATGATGTTGAACTTCATTCGGACAGCGAGGATCAGAAGAAAGGTAAGAGATTTTTGGAATTTTGGTGATTTATGACGGTAGGAATGTTGAAGTGTGGGAGGGATTTGGATGAAATATGGAACTCTAGGGACAGGGGGACTCATAAATCAAATTCCATAGGTTCTGAATTTATTAAGACCTGATTCTCTAATTTCCAGTTCCATATTTGTAGGTTCCTTAATTATTAAATTTGGACATTTCCAAATTCCTGCACCCCCAATTCTAAAATTACCAAATTCTAAAACTTGAAGGGTCCTCAATCCCTAAATTTTTTAATTGTGGAATTCTCAAGCTCCCAAATTTCCAAATCCCTATTCTAAAATTTTCAGATCTCTAAAACCCTAAATTTTTAAATTGTGGAATTCTCCAACCCCCAAATTTCCAAATCCCTATTCTAAAATTTTCAGATCTCTAAATCCCTAAATTTTTAAATTGTGGAATTCTCAAACCCCTAAACTTCCAAATCTCTATTCCAAAATTTTCAGTTCCTCAATCCCTAAATTTCTAAATTACCAAATTCTCAAACCCCCAAATTTCCAAGTTCCTATTCCAAAATTTTGAGTTCCTCAATCCCTAAATTTCTAAATCACCGAATTCTCAAACCCCCAAATTTCCAAATTCCTATTCCAAAATTTTCAGCTTCTCAATCCCTAAATTTTTAATCTGCCGAATTCTCAAACCCCCAAATTTCCAAGTTCCTAAAACCTCGGTATTTAATTTTGATTCGCGTTTCGTGGGTTAATCACGAAACGTCGTAACTCTACCAAATCCTTTACACCACATTTATTCGCCAATCAGTTCCAATTGTTCCCTGCCATTGTCCCCCAAAGCTCGTTCGCGTGTAACGCGTTCGTACGTTATCAACGATAAGTAAGATTTATTGAAATTTCTGGCTGGCATTTCGGTAACCCCCAATGGCCGTAGATCCCTGTGACGCTTAAAGGGTGTGTTCCATGAGCGGTCAGATTGGATTAGCAACGTTTGCCGAGGTGTTTAAAATTATACAACTGACGCTGGCCATTAATCCCTTAGCCCGAGGCACCCCTATTTTTAGACTTTCAGAGGCTCCCTTGTCCGCGTTTACTAGCGCAGGTCAGGGTAGCGTGTCCCTAACATATGTCCCAACATATGGATTTAGCTAGGAGGAGCACACACGTTGGTCTCTTCATTCTGTTTCATGCTGGGTCGAATATACGGCTGTTTGGAGCTTTTCACACGATACTTCAGTTAATGTAATTGCTGCGGCGTTTAAAATATTAGGGGAGGATAATCAGGATGTGTGGAGAAGGATGTAGACTTTTTTTATAATCAAAAGTATCCTTGTTTATTCAGAATTATTTTTGTATAAAAATTTTCCCACTGGGCAAATCTGAGTGTGAACAAAATTAGAACAAATAATGGTTAACCATTTTTTACAAGATATCTCAGATAAATATTTAGGATTATTAATAAATCTTGTCGCAGTCAATTAAAGCTTGTATGATACATAAATTTCTATGTTGAGTAAAAAATGAACATAATTGACGAACAGTTAGTTCAATCTTTTACAAGATATTTCACAGAAGAATTTGAGGTTATACAACAAATTAATATAATTATATTTGCTGAAATGTGCATCCAGCTCTGTTGAAGCTTGTCCTTGCAAAAATGGGTTAAATACTATAGAAGGATATTTTAAAGTCGTCCATCAAGGAATCTGTACATGTCGTAACGTCGTTGGCACGTTGCCGCGATCGCAGAAGCGATTCGCTCGATTTTCTCACGCTATGAATCTCCACGTATCTAATTTCTCTCCAAGATAGTTTCGAGCAAACCATTTACCTTGATTCCGTGATGAAAGTTCACTGGGCGGCAACCGAACGAGCGCAGCTCGATTTTTACCTTTCGATGCACGGCAATTCTTATCTATCGGTTATCTTCATACATGTAGATTTACTCTATCTTTGCCCACGTGTGTGTCGTGTATCAGCTACGTGCACGTTTGCTCGCTATCCCACCTCGAAAATGCCTTATCGTTACAATTTCAGATATCCTTCGGAAACTCGAACAAATCGAAGGTTAGATTAGTCTTTTCACAGGGAGACGAAATTCGTGATAAATTCTGTTTGGAAAATTCGTGATAAAGGTCGATTAACCCCGCAGTGCGGTTTGTACATAGATGATAAGCATTGACAATTTTAAAATCAAAAAGGGAGTCAATGGTGGAATATACCATAAGGAAATTGACATTTGTTGTGTGGGAGATTAATAAATGTATGAAGACTTTTAAAAGTCTTGTATAACCTTAAAAAGACTTTTAAAAGTCGTGCATTTCTCAGGTAAAAAATTCTGAATCTCGAAACCTTGAAATTTTGAGATATAACTGTGGGACCCTGTTGCATTGTATCATTATATAAGATATTTATAAATTAAACAAAAGACGACTATCACATGTATAAAGCCTAAAGTTTCGCAACAAGCGAATACAAAAACTGTCCATTGTATCAACCAAATTCATCGATGTTGTTATTAAACTCATATGATGCAACCGCAGAAATGTCTGAAATATCACGAAATAATTACATAAAGACTTTACCTTGATGGTATCATTAAATTTCGCTACGAACTCCCCAAACCACCCATTAAAATGTTTGCACTGCCCCGATAAGGTGGTTTAACCGTTAATGTAACTTTCACGATACAATTTTGAGCCATAATTTTCACGACTACAAAATAGTCGTTTATCCTGCGTAATAATCGAGTTTCATAGGGTATGCATTTAAATTTTATACACCCGTAAAATAGAATAGCATTTTGATGCATTACGATCGAATATCGCAGCTTATGCGCATTCCCGCGAAAGAAAACTTTTATAAACAATGATTACACGCGTATGCATGCGTATCAAAAGCAGCGAGCGAGTATATTAAAAGTCCAATGACGTGCGATCAGTTCGATCGCTGTAAGAAACTTTAAACGCGACAAACGTTGCGCACCGATGATGCCAGCTTTTACCTGCATTATTCGCTCTGCGAGATTCAGAAAAATGATTACGCAAAATGTTCAGTTAATTGTTCGTCTTGCGTACATTACGTCTTGCGACATAATCGCGAAGAACGCGTTAAACGATAAATATTTATGAATCATTCATCGATTCTTCGTGTAATCGATTATATTTTTTTCACTCCCCCGAGTTTTCTTTCCCTGCCTTATTTGTGCTTCTAATTAGGATTTTTTAACGGGGAAGGTTGCAATATGATTATAACATAAGAAATGAAGTGAGATATTGATTACGAAAACACAATTTTTGCGACATGGTTATTCTGAGGTATGCGTGCAAGATTGTATCACGTATGAAAATAGTTTGATAATGAAAATGACTCGTGAGCAATCTTCATGACTTGACCAAAGTAAGACTGACAAAGTAATGACACACCAAAGTAAGACCAAATAATTTACATTTTAAATGTTATTTGTTATTCCAAACTTCTATTGGAATAAATTTAAGTCTATCAAAAATTTAAGCTACATCCTCCCAGTAAACAGCATAAGTCGCCAGTGCATAATGTACGATGCTAATCCATTCGCTAAAGTCCGCGAGTGAATAGTTCAACGACCGCCAAGTGCTAATAACCTAACCCGTCTGTACATAATCGCAGAATCATAGATTCCACGAAATCCGCAGGCATGAAAGTGTTAAGGAAATCAAAATGGACAAGCGCAAAGCCACGTAAAACAAATGGAACGCAAAAAGCATGATGACCGCCGGCGTTCGTGCAAAGACTTACAAATCGAGCGGAAGGCCGCGATCGTAACACAATAGACATCCGCGGTCTCGATAAGGATTCCGCGATCGATCGAATGTGCATGAACGCATCGTGTTGAAATATCGAAAATTCCGTGCAGCACGAGGCGAACGCACGTGTCAGCGTACGCTGACGGCCCTTGCCCTTGAGTCTACGCCCTAATATTGATCTGCTGTCTTTCCTGCCCCTCCATGGTGGCCCATGGTGTGCGTACAATGAAACGCACGATTCCCTTTGCCCCTCCAGACCCATTCTGCCCCGTGGAGTCCAGCGTTTGGGCCGATGCTGCTCTCCAGTGCGAACCTAGCTGTCAAACCGCCAACACTTTTCAACACGATCGAACCGATCATCTCGATCACCGATATCCTCCCTGTTCTCTTTGTCCGCCCTTTCTTCTTCCTCCTTCGGATATTCTGCGGTTTTCCCGACCACCGAACTTTCCTCTTCGTCGTTTTCCATCCCTCCGGGATATCGACTGTATTCTCTAACCAGCCCGGTTACACATTATCGAACTTGGTCGATACTCACGCGGAGTTCTTCAGCGTCCCCGTTCTGTCGTGCCTGCTTGTCGGCCAGCGTCCTCCGGGCGTGCCAACAGTTGTTCAGTGCAGACGCGATCACGCGGACGGATGCACGCGCCGGCTCGCACACTACGGAGATGGTACTTTGCGACGTTTGCGACAACAAAGGTGAGACAGATTTCCTTCTTGGATAACGATTGCATCCGTCTCTGGATCTCGCCTTTCGCTTAGCAGGTGAAATACGACCACGATGGGGTGGGATGCACGGTTTTGGATGTCTGATGTTTGAATGCGTACTTTCAAATGTGCACGAATTTTTTAGTTAAATGGATCGGTAGTTTTTAATGTATTTACCCAGCATTTTAAGTACGAGCAGTATTTGTAATATAATAAATGGGCTGTGAATGTTTGAGTCTCTGTGATACATATTATAGCAAAGTATAAATTTATGACATCCACAGTCATTTAGCACAAACTTCCTCGATCAATATTTTTATGAATAGTGTTTTATGGTAAAATCTCGGGTATTTGCAACAAAATATCTATAAAAATAATTTAAGGAAATATTAACTTATAAACAGGCAATATATACTGGATATATACCATAAGTTTAGCTAGATAAAATTTTGGTGATAAAGTCGGAACGAGGAGGAAGAAACTGTAGCCATCGGTGCCGTCGTCCGTTGGTACAATCGAT